CCCCAAAACCCCAAAACCCCAAAACCCCAAAACCCCAAAATTCTTGTATAAAATTGAATATTATTTATTTCAAAATGTTGCTAGGCAAGGTGGTTAAGTACGATCCTAAAATCAGAGGTAGGCATTCATCTCATAACTATATAGCCAAGCTCAGGAAGGCACTGAAGAAGTCTAAGAAGAAACTGAAGAATAATAACCTCCTAACTTTAGTAAGCAGCCTTGAATTTATTATTATAGCTTAAGAAATACCAACAGAATGTTGAAGAAATCGCAGAAAGACTGAGTAAGCATGAAAGTGATGACTTGTAGGCTCACCCCAAAGAACAGAAGGTCCAATCTTGTCAGCCATAGCATCTCAAGACTCTCTTGGGTTCAGAACCCAGACCGAATTCGCACGCATGGATGGCAACCAGCTATCTATTGAGGACAAGAATAACTCAGATTGAGAGGAAAAGGACACTTATAATTACGGAATTTTCAAGAATATCGACACTTTCTTAACCAAAGTTGATATCAATAGTAAGGAAGAATGGAAAGAGGAGACTCATCCTGAGTCTCCTAAGAAGATCATGCGTAAAAATTTATTCGAAACTCTTCGTGAAAAGCAATATAACAAGAAAGGGCTGGATTTTAGGAAGAATTTTTGCCATCAAATGACCACCAAAAGGATCACTATCAATATGAACACGCCTCGGATTGAGCAGAAAGAAGAGGTTCGAAGCGCATCTGTATTTCTAATGGGTCTAACTTATAGCCTGGATTACGAAGAATTAAGAATAACTTAGAGAAATTAAAGACAAATCCTCTTGGGAACATGAACAACAGTATTGAAAGTATCATCTCACTTGAAAGTGTTGAGGTAAGTGTCTCACTAGAATTCCGAGTTTAGTTCTCAAACTATAAAATGAAAAGCATCCTAAACAGTAACAAACAGTGAAACGAAGCAAAAGCACAGAGGTCACAGTGTCTAGCTACCAGGTTCGACACTGACGATGAATGGAAGCACCAATTCCAGAGTCCCAAGTAAGTCCACTGAGACTAATATTTAGGAGGACCAAATACATTAACTCTAGGGTAGGAATTTACCAGAAGAGAGTTCAAAGAAAAGGTATTCTTCCCACATTCATCACTAGGCTTAGAGACGGACAGAAGGCAAAGGTTCGAGATCAACTTACCTCGACTTTCAAGAGATGTCAATCATTTCCAAGTTTCTGAGAAGTTCATGCCACCAAATGACATATGGAAGGACCTTATGGTGACCTACCGGAGGATGAATAATTAGTAATGCGATTCAAATTAGCCTGAGTAAATGGGGTTTTGGGGTTTTGGGGTTTTGGGGTTTTGGGG